CCGCCGTCTCTTCTCGCCAGCTTACCAGTCGCTACCCTGCCAAAGCCCGATCCGTAAGGCGCATCGGCGCAAGCGCCGCTCGTGCGTTTCAATCTAGTACATCCCCCACGGCTCCCCGCTTCCGTTCCCTCCTGTCTTCCGCCCGCCGTACCCTCCTCTTCGCTGTACGTGCCATCCGCTCGCCTCTTCTTCCTCCCTTCGGTCTCCACCACCATTCTTCCAATCGCATCCACATCGTTCCCGATTTCCAAAAGGTTCCGCTTTCCGGTGATAACGCTCGTCGTACCGCTCGCCGCGCGCAAGAAGCAGCCGCGTTTCGGCAGCTCTGGTTGATCATCTCGGAAGCTGCCGCCGCCGTCGCCGCCGCCGCCGCCGCCGTCGTCTCTACATTGTGGAACAAAACGAGCTTCATCCATTCGCTGTCGTTTTGACGCGAAGCACGTGTCCAGCGGGTCGTACCACCCGTGGCGCTTCAGGCTCGCACCACGGCAACCATTGGCGCTGCCCCACGCAAGGCACGAAGGCTCATGTACTCCCATCCGTAAAGCTGCTTCCATTTTCACGGTCTGTAGCAACAAGTCTATTGGCTAGCGAGAAGTTCAGCACAACCTAAGGGCGAAACCGTAGACACAGGGAAACTTCAGGACAGGATAGCAAAGGCGCAAGTACAGTTGAGAACCCTGGAAAACGCGTGAACATATGACAAGCTATGTCATAGAACGCCTAGCGCTACTTGCTGTGTTCAAAGTTGCAACACTGCAGGTAAGGCTTTTATGCGTTTCCGTGGTGGATGGGGCTGCACATGCACGAACAGATGACGTGCGCGTCATCGCTGATGGCTGATGGCCGAGGGGAATCGAAGCAAGAAGAGTGGAAGGGGCCGAAAAGGATTGGACGGTTGGTTCTAGCATTTTCCGAATGTTCGGAAGGAATGTTCACGTTAGAGTTGCGAGCACGTCGGGGCTTGGGAAATGCGAAGCGCGGAAAATATTGTCACCGTACAAGCCGAACCTTGATGATCGAAAGATACGGTTGCACAGAGAAACACTATGTTTTATCACGTATGCATACGAAACAATGTTAAACAATGTTTTGGCCTGACGACTATAACTCCACAAAGGATACGGAGGTGTACTGGTAGATTATGTCAAAGCAGGAGGTTCACCTGCAGGCGCAGGCTATGGATGCTATTTAGTAGACTGTGCAAGCCTTAAAAGGGAAAAAAATGAATGCTTTATAAAAATTTGACAGTCTTCTTTTATGTACTAGGAGGTGCAGTTTGTGGTGGTTTTGCAGCACCATTAAAATATGCAGACTACTATATCATTACTACAGAATTCCAGGAAAACCATCCTTGATGCCGCTACTCCATGAACTCGCCTTTTCAAAGCCGTTCATACCCATCTGATAGTCAAAAAACGTATTTCTCAGCTCTTCCTCTGTGTTCATAACAAACGGCCCATATTGCGCCACCGGCTCCCCAATCGGCTTACCCCCAATCAGCACAAACCGGCATTCCTCCGAGCCCTTATTCCACACCTCCACCCCATCTCCAGGACCAAGCTCAACTGTGTGGTGAGGGCCAATAGCAGCAGATTCGGAATCTCCAATGTTGGCCTTGCCAGAAAGAGTGTAAATGAAAGCGTTCCACCCCACTGGAATGGCCTGGCGCAGGTGGGCGTTGGGCTGAAGGCAGAAAGAGAGGTACATGGTGGGCGTGAGAGTGTAGACAGGAGACGTGACGCCAAGAGACGTCCCCGCAATCACTGCCACGTGCACCCCATCACGCTCCACCTTGGGAACATCTGTGTCTTTCAGCTCCTGATAGTTAGAAGGAACCCTGCCATAAAATGGGCAACGGGATGAAGAGCAACAGTAAACATAAGCGGAGGTTGTTCCTTGCATTTACTGGAGATAATAGGAATTGGAACGGAACCCAGCATGCACGCTCACCTTTCGGGCTTGACATCAAAGAAGCAGAAACAGTGAGAGCAGACATGACACAGGAACGAGAAGCCTCACATCTTATCCTTGGAGGCCAGGTTGACCCACAGCTGCAGCCCGTGGCAGCGCCCCTTGGTGGCAGGCATTTCTGCGTGCACCACGCCTCGCCCAGCCGTCATCCACTGCAGGTCGCCCGGACCAATGATGCCCTTGTGCCCGTTGAAGTCCTCGTGTGCGAACGCGCCCTGCGCATAAAGCAGAGTCACGGTGGGGCGACGTAGGAGACGGAGGAACGGGGGTAGCGGGGCGAGAACGTGGGTAAATGGAGGGGAGGGCGCAGGAGGGGGGAAACAGGGCAGAGGGGAGTGAGGAGGGGGTTGGAGGGGGAAGGGGCGCAGTTATGAGCGAAGAGAATTGCAGTCAGGGAAGAAGTGTGTGTGGATGGTGGGTGGGACGGCTACCACACACACGCAGCAAGAGGAAGAGTCTACAGCAGAACGAAGGGCTAATGGCAGCTGAATGTGCGCCCGTACCTCGATCATGTATGTGACCGTCTCGAATCCTGCAGCAGCGAGGGAGGAAGGAGTTCGGAGGAAGGAGGGAAGAACGTGAGGTGCGGATTGTCATGGCGGTTTGCGGAGCTGGCAGGTTAGAGAAAACAAGCGCCAGACTCGCAAAAATGATCGCAACAAACCAAAAATGGTCACACTAATGCTGAAATTCAACTAAGATGGAGTTAGGGCAGGTGTGGGCAGAGCATGACGTGTGGCATCTTACCACGATGAGGGTGGTCGGGAAATCCAGCAGGCGTGGAAACTGCAAGGGGAGATACGGCGGAGGGGCAAGGGAATGCCGCATCACGTTCCGAAGGAAGAGAGTGAAGAGGGATGTTGCAGGGAAAGTGAGAAGGAGGAAATGCCAGCGAAGCTGCGGAGGGGTAGGGGATTGAGAATAGGAGCGGGGAGAACGCCGAAGCGCGAAACCCCAAAGGTTGCAGAGCGACAGGTGGAGCCAGCAGGCGCGTGAAACCCTAGGCGTGTGGAAGGGCGACACATTGAGAAGTTCTAACCTTTGAACTCGTCGAGCATGAGAAAGGGATCCAGGGATCGCATCTCGGGCCGCCCGATGCTGCGCCGCACGCGCGCGCCATCGCCCTCCGCCTGCTCTTTCGACAGCAGCTTGCGCAGCGGCTTCCGCGGCTGCTTGATCTCGGCTTCGCCTGCTGCGCGCACTGCGCTCGCTCCTGCGCCGTCAGACGCGGCTGAGGTGGCAGCGGCAGTGCTCGCCATGGAACTAGAGGAGAGGTTAGCTGTTCCGGAAAAGGTGGAGTTAAGGGGCTTAGATGGAGGTTGTCGGAGACGGGCTGTGGAGAGGAATGGGATGCTGGAAGGGCGGAGCACTCGAGGCAGGAGAAAGATGGACGGAGCGAGCATCAGGAAGAAAGCGGCTAGGAGAACCGTGGATAGCGCAAGCACGTAGCACGAGCAACGGGAAGGTCGGGTGCCAGGATGGTACTGTCGACGAGGGCGCTGAACTGCAGGCATATGGATTTGCTCTGCTATTGAAGTTGGGAATGCGGCGTTGCGGTGCGAGTGGGATTTGGTCATATAATTGCTCTGCTGGAAAACATCCAGCTGTGACGTCAGCTGGGGTGAAAATTCCACGATGGCGGGAGGTGATGTTAGGACGAAGATTCGAGATTTCCGCGATTGACACAGTTTCCACTATAGCACAAAAAGCAGATTTCCAGTTTCAACAAACTTCTTGTTGAACTTCTATATAGCTTATGACGAAACCCTCGATCAAGCCTTCTTGCGGAGCAACTGCTAGCGAAGGTCGCTAAGGCGGGGATAAGGCTGGGTCAGGTGAGAGTCCGGACAAAACAATTTACTGCACCTGCGAGCTTCCAGTGACTGCTGAAACGACGTGGAGAAACACCACCTCGAGAATAGGCATGGAATAGACCCAGCCGTTTCCCGAGGCTAAGTGGTTGGTTTGATATTCTGGCGACTAACCAAGCACAAATCAGCCACTTGCCGAGCCCTGCTTGGCTGACCGAGCCTGTTTGAAGTTTGGGTTCGGATATTTCTCAAGTCGACGCGAACTTTTTTGCCGCTCTCTGATGACCCTTGGGAGTGGCTGAACCCCATCACCATCGCCACGTTGTTGGCCCGACAGGGGTCAGGCTCGTGCGCGTTGAGTGAGGCCTTCCCCTGGACGTGACGAAACTCCGATTGAACTTCGCGGTTCGGCATCGCTCGGTTGAAACATCCGTCGCTGTTGTCCCATTTCAATGGCTAACATCATCTGTGACTCTAACGAGATCAGACTTTTCCAGACGACCTGCTGACTCCCCATTCGTCTGGCATTTCGGCCTGCATCATTCAGGAGTCGCCGCGGCGCGTTTCTGGCAGAGGCGAGTGCGAGCGAGGGAAGGGGAAATCCTTGCCAGAAGTCCGCACGAGTCGCGCGCCGAACAGTCCAAGCGAGCAACCCGTCGCTTCGGTCAATCCAACCCCGTCGAACCATCTTCCTCAAAATCAATCCGTTCTGAAGCCTTCATTCCTCCTCCTCCCTCCCCCTCACCGCAAACGCAAATGAACCCCGCTGCTGTTCGCAATCGCCATAACCTCCGCATATCTTCCCCGCCCCCCGTCCCCCTCCGACGTTTTTCCTTCCCTCCCCCCAACTCCTGCCTCGACCACGCCCGTAAGTTGAGAACGCGTGCGTGACCTGTCCATCCCTCCTCATCCGCTCCTGACGCTCCTTCCGCCCAACCTCACCTCCCCCACGCAATCACTCGCATCGCAACCCATCCACAACTTCACCATTTTCGTCGTTCTCCCTCGGTGTTTCCTTTCAATCTGGCCTTTCTCGTTTACATTCCAGGGCATTTCGTAATCTCGTTTCGCCTTACTACTCTAGCGTCATTCACGGAATTTTATTGGCGATGGCGCTTCTTGAGACGAAAGCAGTAGCGTGTGCTGTGCACGGGTAGTGTAGCTTAGCGTCGTCAACTAATTAGTAGGCTAGACTAGGAAGGCATTGTTAGGGTCATGGGTGTCGACTACTATGACGTCCTTAATTTGCCAAAGGGAGCTTCTGAGGAAGAGTTGAAAAAGGCGTATAGAAGGTTAGCGATGCGATGGCACCCCGACAAGAATCCCGCGAATAAGAAAGAAGCAGAGGCAAAATTCAAGGAGATTACCGAAGCATACGAGGTACCCCTTCCCGTCCGTCAATTTCAACCTTAACAAAAACCATCCATGTACTTAGGCTGAACCTTGTTATATATTTCATTGAGCCTCACGGACCGTTTTTCCCTCATTTTCCAGGTTCTGAGTGATGCTGACAAGCGAGCAGTCTACGATAAAGACGGCGAGGAGGGGCTCAAGGGACCACCGCCACCTGCCCCGCCTTCGCAAGCTCACCCGGCGCAAGCACACTCACACACTCCTCCCCCAGGCCACGCGCACAACCAGTCGCACGCACATCCGCAGCGGCAGCAGCAGCAGAGTGATCAAGCTCATCAGAAGCAGCAGGACCACACAAACCAAAGCCACCCTCCCCCTCAGGCTCACCCTCCGCCGCAAGCCACTCCTCCCCCGCAACCGCATCCCACGCCGCAAGGCACGCCTCACTCGTCGTTCCCGTCGCACGTGTCGCATCCAGGAGCCAACAAGCCCGAGCATCCTAGATTCAAGCCGCGAAAGGCGGAGGAGGTGTTTGCGGAGGTTTTCGGCAACAGCCCGTTCGCGGCAGGCCCCGACGCTGCCGGAACGCCGTATCGAAGCCCCAAGGTCAGCCCGCACGTGCCGACCACGCCCACGGACCATGGGCCGCAAATAGAAGGGCACGCGTCGGACCTGCCGTCGCCCGGGCCGAAGAAAGCGGTGGTGGAGAACCGGCTGCTGTGCAGCCTGGAAGAGCTCTACTCGGGGTCGACCAGGAAAATGAAAATCTCGCGGAATTTCATCGACGCCACCGGGTGAGTGGGGGTTGCGAGGCGGGTTGGAGAGGTGAACAGAAATAATATTCCTCGATTGATATTCCTCGCCGCTCGTTCTCAGCGGCGTAACTTCCTCATTTGATATTTCTCTCACTCTCCCTTAGTTTAGTTTTGTCCGCTATCGTTCTTGGCACTCACTTCTGCGTTTTTGTTCATTTTTTGTTTCTTCACTTATGTCGAGTCGACATTAAAGTCATTCACGAGTGTTGACGTGTGTATCTTGCTTTTACTCCACCTGCCAATGGCAGGAAGGTGACGCCAGCCGACGAGATTGTGACGATAAGCGTGAAACCCGGGTGGAAGAAAGGCACGCGGATTACGTTTCCAGGGAAGGGCAACGCGGCGGATATCGTGTTCGTGGTCGACGAGAAGCCGCACGATGTCTACAAAAGGGACGGCCACGATCTCGTGTGCACGCAGAAGATTACTCTGGTTCAGGCGCTCGCGGATTTCCGCCTGGAGCTGAAAACGCTAGACGGGCGTACGCTGGTAGTGATTTTGAACGACGTGGTTACCCCGGGGTATGAGAAGGTGATACCCAAGGAGGGAATGCCGGTGAAGGAGAACGGTAGAAAGGGCAATCTCAAGATTCGTTTTGACGTGAAATTCCCCTCGAAGCTGACGGCGGAACAAAAGGCGGGAATCACTCAACTGCTCGGATGAGAAGGGGTTCATTGTTTGGCACGCGTGGCATAACGTGATTCGTGAGTCGCTCGCCCGAAGGGCTGTGATTGTCGGTTGGAGACGTCTGTACCATCAGCGGACGAATTGGGTACTAGTATCCCCCCCTAGGAATCACCTTAGATGGTTGCAGCGAGCAACCGTCCTCGCAGTATTGATTACACGACTAAGCTTCGCGCTTCGCGCTTCCTCTAGAGCTAGAGGCTTCGCAATGGCATGGGTGGCTAGTAAAGGCGATGCAAAGGCTGGCATTGCATTGCATGGTTCTTCCCCGCTCACCTGCTACTGAAGATACTTGCACGCTTAGCTTTCTGTACCGTTGAGAGCTAACCACGCTCAAGAACCTAGTTCAGTGTTTTCTTTTCAGTGCCAAGAATGCCGCAGCACCATAAATCAAAAGAAGCGGACTTTGATGGTCATTTGTTTTCTGTACCATGCTCAGGCTGACTGTTGAAACTTTGATCCACCCAGAATGACAAGCGGAGGTAGCCTTCTAAAGCTTTAGAATGAATCAAACCTGCTGCATTCGGATGCAGGTACTGTAGGTGTTCTGAGAATGTTGAAAGCAGAGCTTACAGAACTAGAACTGAGATGGTTTATCATACTCTGCTGCATTGACTTATACTGGGTAATTAAAAGACTGAGCAGGAAACCAGTAAAGGAACAATTTATTCTTTTCAGAGTCACCTCTTCATCCTCTTACCACCACCACGCCCACCCCCTCCCCGGCCACCTCCCCGGCCCCCACCTCTGCCACCTATCCCCAGCTGTCTCATCATGCTGCCGCCCCCCCCTCCCCCTTCCTCGTCATCATCCCTGGTCCGTCTCTTGCCGCCCTTCCTGTTGGCATCCTTGTCCCGAATGGTCTGGAAAGAGACGAGCAGGGAGGGACGCAGAGGTAAAGTTCCCGCTCAGCAATGCCCAGCTTGTTACGGCTCTCGATTGCTCTCACCAACTCCCCACCCCACCCCCTTCCCCCCTCCCCCCACATTGTCCACTCAACAATCGCACACAACAGACATGGGCACAACATCAACACAGCAGGTACGCGACACACACCCTCCCTCGCCCTCAACCCATCCCTTTGCCCTCCAGCTCACCATGGTAGCAAGCCTCTGAGCCTCCCTGACTCTCTCCAGTAACACCAATGCCTCTTCTGGCTCTGCTGGAAACGAGGTGACCTCTGAATCGACTCAGTTACCCCCCCTCTCCGCCTCAACCCCCAGCCCAGCTCACCATGGTGGCAAGCCTCTGCGCCTCACTGACTCTCTCCAGCAGCACCAGTGCCTCTTCTGCCTCTGCTGGAAACCCCTCCATCTTCTTGCCTGCGCGCACGAACTCACGCCACACACCACCATGCCCAACGAGCACACGGGGGAGTTTGACAGATAACGTAACCTGAACTTGACTTAAGCTTAGCAGATACGGAATTAGCAGTGAGCTAAGTGCCAGCCTGAAAACCAGATGAACCTGTTAACCAGCAACAATGTCGTGGTACGAGGGTAAGAGCTTGCGCAGTTCCGTGGGGTTCCGTGGGGTTCCGTGGGGTTCCGTGCACGCAGCAATGAGCTGCTCACTGTACACAGCAACGCGCTGGCTGGAACAGCTCCGCATCGTACAGCGTGGAAAACCACATGGCTAATGAGGCAGATGAGATCATGAGGAGCAACGCAGCGATGCACAACACATGCACGCTCGCTGTGTTCGTTCGGCCGTGGCACGCACGTCACACACAACGCACCTATGAGCTGCTCGATGCTCGATGCACTAGAAGAGCTCCACCTCGTCATAACGTGTGGCTAGTTTTGACACGTCTCAAAGCTCCACCATTGCATGCACGCACACGCACGGGCTTGCACGCACACACGCACGCACGCACACACGCACGCACGCACGCACACACACGCACACACACGGGCACAGGCACGCACACGCACGCACCAATGAGCTGCTCGATGCGTTGGAAGAGCTCCACGTCGTACTGTGTGACTATGGTGATGGCCCGCCCCGACCGCCCCGCCCTCGCTGTCCTCCCCACCCTGTGAATGTAGTCCTGGTGGGATGATGGGGTATCATGAGGGGAGGTTGAGAAGAGGGTGAGGGGATGGCGTAGGGAAGGTGAGGAGAGGGTGAGTGGAGAGACGAGCAGAGAGAGGATGGACAGGCAGATGGACAAATGGAGGGGAGGTCCGACGAGCGGGCAAATTGGCGGGAAGGGGGAGCAGGCAGGAAGGTAGGCGGGAGGGCAGGCAGGAGGGTAGGCGGGAGGGCAGGCGGGTGGGGCAGGCAGGCACGCACCTTGGAGTTGGTGGGGATGTCGTAGTTAACAACCATGTCCACGGAGGGGATGTCAAGCCCTCTGCTGGCCACGTCCGTGCAGATGAGAATGCTCCTGTCACCGCTCTTGAACTTGTTCAGCGCTCCCAGTCGCTTTGGCTGGCACAGCAGGAGGAGGAGCGGGGATGGGGGGAATAGGGGCGGGGGAAGGGAGGGAGAAAGAGGGAGAAAGGAGGAGGAGGTGAGCATTGGAATGGAAAGCAACGGAATACTGACTTTGACGGGGAGAGGAGCTGGGGAAAAAAGGAGGGGTGAGTGGGGGAAGAGGTCGGAAGAGGAGAGAGCTTTTACGAGGCTCATTTGGCCGCTGATGGGGACGGGTGGGAAGCCAAGGTTGTGCAATTTGAGGCGCCTTAAGTCGTCATATTTCACGAGGGAGGTGGAGGGAGAGCGACCTCTCACCTGGCTCATCTGGCCGCTGATGGGGATGGGTGGGAAGCCGAGGTTGTGGCTGTCTCACTTTTAACGATTGTCAAAAGGAACAGGAGCGAGGTGGTGAAGGGGGAGGGTGGGGCGGGGAAGAGAGCTTTCACCTGGCTCATCTGGCCACTGATGGGGACTACGGCTGGGAAGCCGAGGTTATTGTTGTGTCACCTTTAACAATTCTCAAAAGTAACAGAAGTGAGGTGGTGAAGGGGCAGGGTGGGGCGGGAAAGAGAGTTTTCACCTGGCTCATCTGGCCACTGATGGGAATGGCTGGGAAGCCGAGGTTGCGGAGTAGCAGGGCAACGCGACGTGTGGCGTCGCATGTGCGCGTGAAGACCATGGCTGTGCTGCCCGCTAGCTCGTTCAACACGTACACCAGGTAGCAGTCCTGGGGTGACGAGGAGGGGAGAAGGAGTGGAGAGAGTGAGAAGAGGGAGTGAAGGAAATTGACTGCCACTAAAATGGTTCCATCCCGTGCGTTCAGCAGAGTGGAGGGGAGGGGGGAGGGGAGAGGGAGAGAGTGGAGGGGAGAGACGTACACCAGAGGGAGGGCTCGGGTGGGAGGGCCCAGCCCAGGTGGGAGGGCTCGGGTGGAATTAAGCGTTTTGGTTCTCGCGTGTGGCGAGAGATGAGGGAGGAGCAGTGAGTGAGTACCTTGTGCTTGGCGGGCACGAAGAGGTACTGCTGGCGTAGCGTGTCCACTGTGGAATACTTGGATGACACCTCCACCTGATGGGCATGCCGTGCCATGCCATGCCGTGCCGTGCCGTGCCGTGCCGTGCCGTGCCGTGCCATGAGCAGGTGAAGAACGGGAGGAATGAGGGAGATAATGGAAGACAGAGAGGGGTGAGAGGGGCGAAAGAGTGAGTGGAAGATGCTACGGGCACTGGTTGGAGCGAAAAAGATGAAAGGTAAGCAGATGCACGCACCTAATCGCCAAAGCACAAGTCACATCACATGAAACGACAGGACACAACACAACACCACACCACACCACACCACACCACACCACACCACACCACACCACACCACCACACCACATCCCTGCACACCTTGACGGGGTCTTTAAGGCATGCGCGTTGCAGCTTGGCGACTTTGCTGGTCATGGTGGCGGAGAAGAAGAGATGGACGACACAGGGGCAATGCACGCAGCGCAACCACCACGTCACACCACACTACACCGCACCACACCCCACCCAGCGCACCTTAACAGGGTCTTTGAGGCATGCGCGTTGCAGCTTGGCGACCTTGCTGGTCATGGTGGCGGAGAAGAGCAGCGTGCGGCGCTCCTTGGGCACCACCTTGAGGATCTCGTCTATCTCCGCCTCAAACTCCAGGTTCAACAACCGGTCCGCCTCGTCCAACACCTGTGGGAAGGGAAGGGGAGGGACGCACGTGGCGTGGGAGCAGGGTGGTGGAGGGGGGACGTCTGAGACGCCTCAAACAATCACCTCCTTGGGCACCACCTTGAGGATCTCGTCAAACTCCAGGTTCAACAGCCGGTCCGCCTCGTCCAACACCTGCGCGCGTTTGAAGGCGGGGAGGGAGGGAGTGTGTTGGGGAGGTGGGAGGTGGGGGAGTAGCTTTCATGCGCCTTATGAATCGCCTCCTTGGGCACCACCTTGAGGATCTCGTCTATCTCGGCCTCCAAATCTCCCTGGGATCAGCAACCTATCCGCCTCGTCCAGCACTTGTGCGCATTGGGGGGAGGGGGAAATCACAGGGTATCACGGGGCATCACTGGGTGTGTTGTCACTCTTGAAAAGTCTCTCAAGTGCTACAATTGGACGGACTGAGCAGAAGAGCATGGGAAGAAAATGCTACGTAAATTTGATGCAGGCTTGTGAAGCTAGGACGCACGAGGTATTTAAGAGTGCGGAGGTTGAAGCCCTTGGTGTTGCTGAGATGATCCACCAGTCGACCCGGCGTGCCCACCTGCCAGCGGAAGAGAAAGGGAGGGCGGACGAGAGGAGCGGTAAAGGAGGAGGAACAAGGCAACGCACAGGATGCACGAGGGGGGCACAATGTGAGCACATGGGCCTAGGAAAGAATGTCCTGTCCTATCCCGTGCAGGTCATGTGCGAAGAAACAGAGAAGACACGGGTTGCAGAGCTTCAGGCGCATGGGGTCAAGACAATATCAGGGTAATGAAAAACCACATCGCATGCCGTCGCGGCGCATTGCATTGCAGCGCACTAAACCACACCAAACCACACCAAACCACACCAACCCACACCAAACCACACCAACCCACACCACAACATCCATGGAGAGCCCATAACGCCGTACAATAATGTGTGGCCGCTTCCCCAGTGCAATCGCCTGAGCTACCATGTCGACACCTCCCACTATCTGCACCGCACAGCACCGCACGGCATGGCACGGCATGGCACGGCACGGCATGGCACGGCACGGCAGGACAGCAGAGGAGTGGGGAGCACGCGAATAACAACAGGGTTAAAGCGAGTCATGGGGCGCCCTATAACGCAGCACGTAGGGTGGATGGGGAAGAGCGGGCGGAGAGAGTGGAAGATGTGCTGTCGCGAGGGAGAGAGAGGGAGTTGACCCAGGAAGACAAAGGCAAGTCGTTGTTGGCATAAAGTACAGAGGGAGAAGAAGCAAAAAGAGCGAAGAGGAGAGGGTGAGGAGGGGAGGAGAGGGCAAGGCGAGGAGGAGAGGGACAGTTGACTGACCACGGCGCATTTGAGCCCGATGCTGCTGCCAAGAGCCTCGCACTGCTCCGCTATTTGAATCGCCAACTCACTGCGCGCAAAACGCCCACACGCGCACAAGTTCACACATGCACACGTACACAGGAAGGTATCGGAATGGAACGGGACCAAAAAGGAGTTTATAAGTCTCGTGGAGCAAGTTTTAGGGGTTTCCTGAAGTAGGGTTCTAGCGCGTGCGGACACATCGGGGGTTGGCCTTTCCCGTTTTGAGGATGATCCACGATCTAGGTTTATGCATGCAGGGTTCATACACGACTCTGGGTTTAAGATGAGAAAAATTCGCTATACGTTACACGAGCACGAGACCTGTGCTAATGCAATAAACACAGCATCATGTGACGTGGCACGACGGCGAGGGCGGCGGCATGGCATGGCGTGGCGCGCGTACCGTGTTGGCGACAGTATACAGGCGAAGAGCGGCGCAGGTTTCGCTAAGAGGGCCTCGAGAATGGGGATGGTGAACGCCGCGGTCTTGCCGGATCCCGTCTGCGCTAGCCCGATCACGTCGCGACCTGCGCGCATGACACGGTCGTGCGCACACAGCAGTCGAAAGAGAGGTGGGGAAGACGGTACAGAAAGCGGTAGAGTCAGCAGTACGCGTTGCGGTAGGGACAGCGGTAGGACAGCGAGACTACATGTTATGGTGTTATGTGTTTTAACTTACTAGGATTCCGAGATGTGATAGTGGCAGCGAGCCTAGAGGAGGCTAAAGCGGCCGACGAACTAGAGCGAGCGACGCGCACCTTGAATGGCGGGAGGTATGGCGGCGCACTGAATGGGCGTGGGGTTCTTCCAACCGAGCGTATGACACGCCTCCACTAGCTGGCTGCATATTCCTAACGACTCGAACGTCGCTGTTTCCGCGTCCGCGCCTGATTCGGCCATCGCTCGCAGCGTGGAGTATAAAGGATGCGACGCGGCTTTAATATCAAGCAGAAACGTGGAGTGGGTGAGGGGAGCGTGATCGAAGGAACGAGGCTGGCGGAGCAGAGTGCCTAATTACTGTTGAGAAGGGAGGTGAAGGGAATTAAGTGCTGTTGCTTCACTCAAGCTTTACTAGTTATAGCAGGCTTGGTCAAGAACGGTTCCCGCTCTCGGTGGTGGTGGTGGGTTTGTTGGGCATTCAGTGGCTTGCTATCCTCATTAGAAGCCGGAGGTGTGGTATTAAAATCTCCGGTAGGTTTCCAAATTATACTTCTGGAACCTTCGAAAGAACGATTACAGTAGTGTATTTTCCACTAATACACAAATGTTACTTGACTTTTCGCCAAATTAGAACCTCACTCTGACCACAGTCTGTGGCGAAACGGTAACAGCGTCCTGACGACTTCGCAGTTTCCTGCCTCCATACCTCGCCCTGCCATCCATTTCCATTGCAAGTGGCTTCTGTGCTTGCCGCCGTTGCTGCTGTTGCCGTAACCTAAGGAAAGAAGCAGCTTTGCACGAGATCACATCTGTAAATTCATCCACATTCAACTCTAGGTTCCCTTGGCTGCTGCTGCCTTGCAGCCATCATTTTTAATTCCAGATCTCGTTTCTCTCCTGCACCTGCCATCATGGCCCTTGTAATCTATATGCACCCAGCCTCGCAGCCATCCCGCTCGGTCAGCATCTTCCTCAAGTAAGCTCTCGTTTCTGACCTGTCGTTAACTTTATTTCAGAGCCTTCACCTGCGGTCACGAAGCTTCTTGTTCTCGGAACGGCTGCATCCAAGGCGGCTGCGGTTGATTTCGCAAGGTCTCTTGCAGGGACTCGTGTTCCAGGTCCCGCATTGGCCGGTATTATGAAGTCACGTACTGTTTTTTTTTTCATAAATGCTAATTGGAATAACAACTGTATTCTGTGCAGGTTGAACAATGTCGATTATGAAGAGCGTGTTGTGGATATGGTGAAGGGTGAACACCGTCAGCCTGCATTCAAAGGTACGATGCCGAGTCAGGGGCCGGCCCATAGTAATCTATCACCTTCAGCCTACGTGTCGTTTCAGATGATCTGCTCGCTGGTTGTGTTATGGCTGTTTGCCATGTTGTCTGTTACTCTCGTGGCAAGTGCCGGACAATTTGGTGGAAAAGTATTATTGAAAAGTATTATTACTTGACGATATGTGAGAATGTGTGCTTGCAGAGGTGAACCCACACGGCCTGGTGCCGGCAATGGATGATGATGGATTCAAACTGAATGAGAGGTATGCTCCCAACAGATCAAGTGTACCCCCCTTCTCTCTCTCACTCACTCACTCACTGTTTTGGTTCTACTCGGTCTTTCCATCTGTGTATTGCTCCACGAGTGATTCATGTTCATGTGTACCCTACCCCACACTCCATGCGCGCAGCCACGCCATCCTCAAGTACATAGTGGCATCGCGTCCGTGCGACGACGCATGGTACCCACGCGACGTGCAGAAGCGAGCACGAGTGGACGCGCTCTTGGACTGGCACCACACCAACACGCGCAGAAACACCGGTACTGTGCTGCCCCCCTCTCACGCCCACACACGCACCTGTATTTCCCTCGCCATGCCGGAATGCCCTTTGTCCTTCGCACTTATCGCCCTACAATGCCTCACCTTCTCCCCCCTTCCACTCCTCTCTCTCTCCCTCTCTCTCTCGCATCCTCGAGTGGGCATAGTGTTGAGTGAGGTGGTGGCAGCCATGTTTCGCGTGCCGGGCGACATGCACGTGGCAGCACTGTTTTGCCGTGGGCTACAGGCTTTCTCAGAGGGGCCTCTAGATCATAACCTTTCCCCCTCTCCCATCCTCTCTCTCTCTCGCCCCCCAGTGGGCATAGTGTTCAACGAGGTGGTGGCAGCCATGTTCGGCGTGCAGGGCGATCCACACGTGGCAGCGCTGTCCCGCCGTGGCCTGCAGTCAGCGCTCTCCGCCTTGGAGAACATCATGCTCGCACAGGCAAACCCTGACGACCCCGACGCGCCTAAGTTCCTGGAAGGGAATGCGCAGCCCACCCTGGCTGACCTGTGCATTGCGTGCGAGCGAGTTATGCAGCTGGAGGTGCGTCAGCGCATTGCCGGTTTCAAACAGCTGTTAGGTGGGACGAAGTGACAAGTGTGCGTTGTCCTTTCGTTCTTTTCCGTGAGTGCATGTGGGGCTCCTTGCCAAATGTTTGAGGCGCCTCAAAACTCCTTGCTAGAGTCAGTGGATGTCGCATGTGGGGCTCCTTGCCAAATGTTTGAGGCGCCTCAAAACTCCTTGCTAGAGTCAGTGGATGTCGCATGTGGGGCTCCTTGCCAAACTTTCTCTGCTGCAGTCCACATTCTGCATGCTGCAGTCTCTGTCTCGTACTCTGCACTCTGCATCCTACCTACGGTACCGTACATCCTGCACTCCTGCTGTCTACATTATGCTCTCTGCGTTCTCGTGCCGTGCCATTCCCCACCAGTTGTTGGGCGCAGAGGGCAAGGAGGCATTGCTGGGAGAGCACAAGAAGGTGCGGGCATGGCTAGAGGCAGTGAGGGCAGCATGCAACCCGGTGTTTGATCAAGTGCATGGGCCCCTTATGGGCATGGCTGCTGCTGCTGCTGCTGGCAAGGCAGTTGGAGAGTCTGGGAAGGATGGCGAAGCAGCCAATTCTGAGAGTGCTTGATTCGTTTCAGTGTGGACAATATACAGTGTTGTATCATATTGTAAATGCAATAACAAAGCTGCGTTTGTTGGTTGAGATTGACGCTGGGAAACTGCAATCACCACATTTGCGATCCCTCTCACATTGGTCGGAGGCTTTCGTTTGCTAACATCAGAGCACTCACAAGAAGAACAGCAGGAACATCAAAGACTAGGAGGTGTAGTGGATTGCAGTGCAGCCACTTCACTTCTTGCCAAACCCCTTTCCCTCCCCTTGACTGGTGGAGGTGGATGGCTCCTTCCCTTGCTGTGTGTTGCTGCCAGTGCTGGCAGTGCCGTCCTCTGTCCCATCCTCTCTAAACACGGTGTCCTTGAATATGAAGTAGGGTGCTACGTAGTTGCTCAGCCAAAACAGCACCACGAATGCAATGCTGAAAGACGAGTGAAAGGGCAGGGCATTACAGCAAACGGGGGTGGAGGGGGGTTGGGGATGGGTGCTGGAGGATTGGAAGGTATGGGATGAGTAAGGGAATGAGGGACAGGCAGACGCGTGTTGCACAGCGCAGAGATTCTTTGCGAGTGTTGCATGAGCATCACCATACACACTATACAGCAGCAGCAGCCATCCACGCTTCAGTGATCTGGATGCCCTATCAGCAGCAGCCATCCATGCCTCGCTCCTTATTCTGGTGCTCCACAATCACCACTGAACACAACGCACACACCGACAGCCCCAAGCATCAGATTCCCCAAGCCCCACACATCAGATTCCCCAAGCCCCACACATCAGATCTTCTAAGGTACGTGTGGGGTGGGACGTACACGAACGGGAGGAACGTGGCGGCATCAGGAGAGTAGGGCGTTTCCAGGTCCCCAACCGCGTCAGTCCATGGCTCGCCGCCCAAGGCAAGAGCGTTTGGGACTCCCAATGCCAGCCCCCCGCCGATAATCACGCCTGCCCGAGTCAGCACCCACACGGCATTTGCTCGCAGCGCGCCGACATTTGCGGAAATAGCGGCTACATCCAGTTGTGGTAACCGCGCGGCATTCGCTTGCGCGGAATGTAGCGCGCGGCGCGTACATGTGCGGTGGGGAGCGCGGGCGTCGATGGTGGCGGGTTCCTCTGGTCGGACGGGGCTAGCTGCGTGCGCGGAGCGCTGATGTGCGCGGAAGCGCGAGAAGTGTGCTAGGGAGGGTAGACGCGGTCGCGTGGAGGTGAGATGGCAAGAATGAAGGGGAGAAGAGCACGAAGGAACGAGGCGGCAGAAGGAGTGTGCGGGCGAGGAGAATCGCGAGGTCTGAGCGACGCGAAGCAACGGAGGCGCAGGCGCGGAGAGAACGGCCATTGCTGATGGCCGTGTGTGACCAGCAGCGGAGAAATGAGCAGAGTGTGAGTGGATGGGTTGCTACATCCTAGCTTGTGTGGGTTGGGAGGGGTGGAAAGGAAATATCGTTGAGGAATGAAGCAGCTTTTGGTTTGTGAGGGGAATACGGGAAAGCTTCTGTTGCAGACTGTACACCGCAGAAATTCGAAGATCAGGTGTTGCGTTACAGCGAGTCGATCACAAACGAGTCGCGAATACTTTCCCAACTTCAAGTGCAGGAGCAAGCAACCACGTCCTGAAATCGAGATCCGCTGATGCTAGACCCCGCTTCGCACCGCACCGAATTGTCAGCTAACTGCGATTCTTTGCATTGAGTGCTGTGCCGTCTTGCCACGTCATCACGCTGAACTCTCCAACGCCACAGCCGTCTGCCAGCCGGCCAGCATCAGCCATGACTGACGGACCGGATACTCGCACGACGAACCCCTCCGCGATCCCCGCTCTGGCACCGTACGGGGGTTCGGTCGCGCCTTCTACGGACGGGTCAGGCGAAGCGTGCGGCGGCGGAAGCGTTGGCGCTTCCGTCCAGACAGTGACTTTCCGCTTCCCCGCGCTCACGGGGAGGAAGCGCCGCCAGCGGGTCGGGGGAGCGTTTTTCGCGGCGGGAGATGCGGAGCGGGAGCTGCTGGCGAAGCAGCTGTCGCTACTGGTAACCGCGGAGGAGGTAGAAGCCATCATGCGACAAGTCCGGGGAGAATCGGACGACGCGGGGGAGTCCTTGGCGAGCGAAATCGACGGTGCAGGTGCAGCCAGTGAGGAAGGCAGGGGAGAAGGTGACGCCATGGCAGTTAGCACGGAGACGAAAGATATTGACTCAGGAAATGCAAGCGCCATACCTTCTTCAAGTGAAGCTGCAGATTTACTATACGGCACTGTCGCGCATAACGCAGATGCGGTATCAGATGAGGCAGAGCGAATCATAAACAAAAACGCGTTCGAAGAGCCGATCAGATGCCCAATCCCAGGCTGCCACGTGGTGGTGCAGGGAGCTCTGGCCCTGGACGCGCATCACCAGGCCATGCACCGCGCCATGTGTGCCACGTGTGGCAAGGCGTTTTCCCTCCAATCGCCTGCTCAACATCCACGTGGCAGAAGCCCATGACTCCTTCTTCCAGGTCAGTCAGCCACTAAACCATCCCTTCAGGCAGGATACTATGTTAGCTGAATTCCACCCTCCACTCGCATCTGGTCTTGGGTGAGTGATTCACCCGTGGCCGTGCCTCTCGCCGTGTGTTTGCGTTGGTCCGTTGTGACATTTGTTCCCCGTGTCTGCTGTTTTGCAGTTTGCGTCTAACCACGTCTGTCGCCCGTCACTCTCTCTCCCACATCCACGCATGCATGCATGATCTCATACACGCATGCATTCATGCAATACCTCATACATGCCGCATGCAAACACACGCGGTGTGCAGGCGAAAGTGGCGCGAGGCGCGGCCATGTACGAGTGCTTAGTGGAGACATGCACACACCGCTTCCCCTCAGACGCCGTTCGCCATCAGCACCTGGTGGACCGGCACCACTACCCGCCCTCCTTCCACTTCCACTCGCTCTCGCACTCCCACCCCTCCCAGCGCAGACGACGACAGATGGCGCAGCACACGGGGGAGGGAGGGGGGAGGGAAGGAGGGATGGGAGGTGGGGAGAGGGGGAGGGGGAGGGGAGGGAGAGGAGGGCGTGGGAGGGGGAGGGAGGGTGGGAGAGGGGTGGCTGGGATGGAGATGGATGGGGAGGGTGATGGTGGGGGAGAGGGGAGAGGTGGGGGGGGGTGGGGTGGGAGGTGAAGGGGGCATGGAAGTGGAACGTGCAGATGATGTGAATAAGGGTGATGCAGATGTGAGTGGGCAGAAAGGAGCTTGTGGCAATGCAAGTGGAAACGATGTCGCAGATGGCGTGGGTGGCACAGCTGACACAGTTGGGACAGCTGGCGTAGCTGGCACAGTGAATGCTAGCGATGCAGTGCATGCAGTACCAGGGGGTGATGGCACACCAATGTGCGGAGCCACAGGAAACCTACCAGGTCCATTGGAACCAGCGGGGTCAAGCTCAGTTCCCCCTGACTCAGGTGGGATGGATGTGGACAAGCTTGCAGCGGCTGTATCTCGCCTCACCACGTCGGACTTTGTGCCCCGATCTGTTAGCTTCGGCCGGAGGAGAGGCCGTGGAATGATGCATGGATCGGCCAAAGGGAGAACAGGAGGTCAGAGGGAAGGCCGCAATCAGTTGAGGCCGAACAAGGGAGTGGTTGCTGATGATTTGGGGCATTAAGCTTTGACGTTGATTTGTTTTTGCCTGAGAACTGTCAGATGACTTCTATGATCCATATTTTTCTATGCTGGCTCAATTGGGCAGTGAGATTTTATGTGAAAAGACACCATCACTCTTCAAACTGGATCGATTTTATGGAGCGAAGATGTTTCCATGATTCTGAATCTAATCATAGAACGTCGCTGCCTTTGGCGAGGCACAGTCAGGAACCAATCACAATTGCACAGACCATTGCCTGACGATCCCCCCTGTCGCATCGCCTGACGCCCCTCTGTCACTACCGGACCGCATGACTATCTTCACCACCAGCAACAAACAATTTTGTTCAGCCCACCCAAACCGAACGTTCGTTACCGCTTATATACCGCGCTCCCCTTTAGCGCATTCCCATTTGCCTGATCGGATCATCTAGAATTCCTCCTGGCCGACCCTTCAGTCCCTCAAGCTATCGTTTCAATAAAAGCCTTCCTTCTCATGTAGGCTGACTGTATGCCCCACAGAGGAAAGAGTTTCGGTTCTCGACGCGGATCAGACTTCACTAGCTAATCCTTTTATCTAATTGTAATACGTGCCCTGTCGAATATGAACCCCCCTTTTCAGTCGCCCCTTTCGCGGTTACTGGTCCTTCTCCTCGTGCTTTCCGCGCAGCTCCCTCACGCCTTCCACCACCCGACTGCAACTGCCAGCCGCTTTGACATCAGCGACCGCAGGAGCACCAGCAGCAGCGCCACGAGCGGGGATGTCTTACTCACTGACGCTTCACGGATAAACAAGGAGCATAGCCGAAGCTGGAATGAGGAGCGCGACACCCTCGTCGCTGCGGCCTCCGAGACTGGTGAGGACACGCCCTTATTGCTGCGCAATGAAGAGTCGGATCTCTTTTGTGACGACATGCTGGCGTGGAATTGGGGAAGGGATTGTCGAATGCGGCGGGGCGGTGTGCTTCGGACTGTGTTGCAACGTCGAAAGCGATTCCCTACTTCCAAACCCCCAAAACACTTCCCGTTTCCACCCTCCTCCTCCTCCTCCTCCTCCTCCTCCTCCTCCTCCTCCCTCCTCCTCCTCCTCCTCCTCCTCCTCCTCCTCCTCCTCCTCCTCCTCCTCCTCCTCCTCCTCCTCCTCCTCCTCCTCCTCCGCCTCCTCCGCCTCCTCCTCCTCCTCCTCCTCCTCCTCCTCCTCCTCCTCCTCCTCCTCCTCCTCCTCCTCCTCCTCCTCCTCCTCCTCCTCCTCCTCCTCCTCTTCCTCCTCCTCATCCTCCTCCTCCTCATCCTCCTCCTCTTCCTGTACTTCGCAATATGACATACAACTAATCAAGCTTCCCCTCTCCCCCACTTCTACCCTCCTCGCCGCCCCCCTCTATCGCGTGGCCTTACACCTCTCGCCTCATGTCACTCCCCATTCCAACCAACTCTGCTCGCCCAGTTCCCGACCCCCGGAGCGCCCTGCAGAGCGAGTCGCTCTGCACATCCCGCGGGGCACTTCTGCACTCTGCCTTCCCCCATACCCCTCCCAACCGCTCTGCCTTCCCCCGTCTCTTCCCCTTCGTCTACCCCTTTCATCTTCCCCTTCCTCCGTCCCTTTGTCTGTCCCATCCCCGTGCATCTCTCCGTCTTCGTCTCGCCCACCCGCGTACAGCCATGGCAGCGGCCAAACAGCCGCGCCGCCAGCGAGCTGCTGGCAGATGCCTCTCCCCGGCGCGGCTGTCCAAGTGGCGCGATTTCATTGGCTCGCTCCGGCCGTCCATCGTGGTGGCGAAGGACGGGTCCGGAAACTACCGCACCATCTCGGTAATCCCAGGGTTGCTGGTTCTTCGATATAGTAACATCCACAAAGCGAATCATGCCCTAAGGCGCTCAACACCAAACCGATCTCATGACATCTACGTATAATCATCCTGCCAAGACACATACCATTACATTTCCGTCATTACTTGGCATGACACCGCTGCCCCAAAATCGTCGCGTCGCCTGCACTAGCATCTTACATCGTTAGAACCTCCCCACCCTCAATTCCTTCTGGTAGGAAGTCATGGCGGTGGCTCCCAAGGGCGCGGTGATCTACGTGCGCGCGGGCGTGTACGAGGAGCAGGTGCGCGTGAGGCAGGACCGCGTGGTGCTGCTGGGGGAGGGGCACTTGCGCACGGTCATTCGGGCGGGGCGCAACCAGGCGGAGGGCACTTCGCTCATGGACACGGCTACTCTCAGTGCGTGCGGTGGGATCATGCATGCATGGGGTGCATGCGTAGATGGGGGTCACACATGCATGGGGTGCATGGAGGTATGGTCACATGCTTCTTGCAGTGCTTGCTGTAACCATTTGCTGCCGTGCAGGTACCCCCAGTGATGCAGCCTGCAACTTCTGAGGGATTAATCCTGTCTTATCCTCTGCGCCTGCTCTCGCCACTGCCCGGCTGCAGGCATATACGGGTCTAATTTCGTGGGCATGGGGTTGGGCGTGGAGAACACAGCAGGGCCACAAGGCAAACAGGCAGTGGCAGCGCGGTCAGATGGTGACAAAACAGCCTTCTACCACTGCCGCTTCTCGGGATATCAGGACACACTCTTCGCTCAAGAAGGCCGCCACTACTACAGCCATTGTCTAATAGAGGGCACAACGGACTTTATTTTCGGCGAAGCTGCTGCTGTGTTCTATCGCTGCACGCTTGCTGCTCGGCCGAGTCCTGAACCTGTGTACATTGCGGCATCAGGCCGTGCCTCTGCTACAGACAGCACCGGGTTTGTGTTTATCCGATCAGATGTGACGAGCAGTGAGCCGGGAACCCAGGCGAACCAGCAGGGGAGGGTGTATCTGGGCCGGCCGTGGGGCATGTATGCGAGAACAGTGTTCATTGAGAGCAGGATGAGTGGTGTAGTGAATGTTGAAGGGTGGGCTGCTTGGCATGGGCGGCCATCTAGTAGGTTCCCGTTCTTTGCAGAGTATGGGTCGCATGGGCCTGGGGCCGCGGAGGGGAGCAGAGCAGCATGGGTGCAACCTAAGGTCCTTGGGAAGGATGAGGTGAAGAAGTTTTGGCCCGGAAGGTTCATCAGGCTGCATACATGGAAAAACCAAACAAGAATTCCCTGCTGAGCCATGTAGGATCATGCCAATAAGATTCCTTGGTCCTTGTTTGTAACAAAGCAATGTAAGGTACATACCGACTCACTCACCCACTTCTGCGTTTCACATCAGGGTTTAGCCTGTCAGCTTGCACGTGCGCACCATACTCTACACTAGTAGCCCACCTCTTATGGTACAATAGAGAACATGTGCCTGACGTGGGATTAGGTTTATGAACAATTTGGCACACAATACGGTACAATTCGAAACCAACAAAGAAGAGTACAGCTACATTGCGCGGTATGGATCAACAGTTCTGTCTTCAGCACTGGCACCACCCAACCCATTGGCACGGCAGGGCTGCTGCTGATGCTTGTGGTTACATCTGTAACTTGAGGAACTGTCCTTACAGTTTCTCAGTAAGAAAAGGCTTCAGTAGGAGGTGTTTTCACTGGAGCTTGGAGAGGGGGGGGGCCTAGTGTTAAACAGGCTAGGCGAAAACAAGAAACAACAAAGAGGAGGTTTTCACTAGCAGGCAGTTGAGTACATATAGCAAACCCTAATTCAGGCTGTACTCGCTATAGAGTACCCCACTGCAGGCTAGCCAACCATCACATTCTGACACACCCCCATAGTCAAAGTGGGGTACAATCAATACAACAAGCAGGCAGAGCAGTAGTTCACAATTATAAGCAAAGCTAGCGGCTAGCACAGAGAGCAAGTGAGGAGGAGGAGAAACTGTAGGGGCGAGAAGATGGGAGGCGACGGCTGAAGCTGCAGACACACTGGCAGCATGAGTGCGTAGTACTGTCACTACCAGGCTAAACCCGGACTACACGGCGACAGACGCAGCTGGCTCGCTGTGCTCCCACGAGTGCTCACACTGTGGCTACCGGGCGCAGAGCCCCGGACTACTCAGGCCACAGGGGGTCGTGGCTCCCTGGACTTCAGGCGCTGCGGACGACTAGTCGGCTACCTCCGGTCAACCTCCCCCAACTGTCCCACACCCCGTTCACACACTCCCTGTTGAACCACTAGCACCGCTCACACGCCACCCCCCTCGTACCACTCCGACGGCTCCAACACATCCACCCCCCTCAGCGGTAGCTGCAGCAGTGGGAGACGGAGGAGGAGGAGGAGGAGCAGGGGACGGCTCACACACACGGCACCCCCATACTCTCCACCCCCAAACCCTAACACAGGAACGCGGGCAGCAGCAGGGGTGGGGCGCCGTCAAAAGCTCGGGGGACGGCATGCGGCACTGGGACAGGCTGCCCGGGGCACGCGCGGGCCTGGCGCAGGCCGTACGGGCCGCGTCGGGCGACGGGGGGCGACGCGCGGGTCGCGGGGCGACGCGACGGGCTCCGGCGGGGGGCGATGCGACCGTCGACGGGGCAGAAAACCGCCGCGCGCCCCGAGCGCGCGGCGGGAAGAAAAATCGCCGCACGCCCGGAGCGCGTGGCAGGCAGGAAACAGCAGCGGAAGCTTCTGGTGGGACCACCCACAGGATCGACCCAGGAGGGTCGACCTGCTCTGATAGCATGTTAAACAGGCTAGGCGAAAACAAGAAACAGGAAAGAGGGGTTTCACTAGCAGGCAGTTGAGTACATATAGCAAACCCTAATTCGGGCTGTACTCGCTATAGAGTACCCCACTGCAGGCTAGCCAACCATCACATTCTGACACCTAGTACCACTTGAGGCAGCTGCAACGAAGAAGTAACCAGGGCATGGGTAAGAAAAGAACCTAGGGTTGCGAGCTTGGCTTTTCTTTTGAGGCAGGAGAAAGGAATTTTTGCGAGAAGTTGTGCATACGCTCTTGGAACTCGCCCAGTCCGATGGTTCCCAGCATCAGCGCTACCGTGCCGCCCTGCGCCACCACGCGCGCGCGCATGAGCATCTGGCTGCGCTTGTCGTTGCCCTGCTTGAACGACGCTAGCCCCGCCACCAGCACTGCTGCCGTCGTGAACGCGCCTGGTGGGTGATACGCCGCGCATGGGAGGGATTGGATAGAAAACAAAGTTTCTGGTAAGGAGACCGCTCAAGAAGCCGTGAACGGTACTGGTGGATAACGCTTGATGCGCGTGTCCCACAACTACGGTAGGCGCGCGCGGACGGAGGAGGAAATGGTGCAAGGCGGAAACGCGGAGGTTAACAATTAGGGTAGCGCGATGCTAAGGGATATGCACCGTGGTGACCTAGGTGTGGAGCGGGTTCAGCAGGACAAGCAGCTTACCGAGTAGCACGAGGGGATTCCTCTCCTTCTGCTGGAAAAGCTCGGCGTCGACGGTGGTCATGGTGGCGACACGCAGTGTGTACGGTGGTGAAAGAACGAATGCTCTCGTTCTAGTGAACGCAAGAAAACACGGGGGAAAACCGCAGCCACGGACCAGATGCAGCGAAGGAGACTCCGGTGGGAAATTAGGGAGAGAATTCTAAGTGGCTCGGTTTGAGCTTTGAACACGTGACCTAGAGCGGGATTGAGTGCTAGGTTCGAAACGATTGAGGGAAATGAAAGCGGGTGGTGAGGAAGACAGACCGGAAGTAGGGGTTGCAAATGCTTGATGAGGCTCAGTAACAAAACAGGCGAAAAACGATGAGTTATGGGAATGGCTGTAATGGCTTCGCGAAATTTAGTAACCTTCTGCTCTGCAGTGAATTCGCCAACTTCGTGAGAAGTTGCTTGAGAAGCTTCAAAAGCAGGAGCTAGAGCCTTCCGTTCGGGTGGCAGTTCTGAGACGTGGCAGGCAACTGGTGGTTGATCGTGCGCGACTGCATGACTCGAAACAATTTCAACCCGAGATAGTCGAGCGACAACAACACGTACCAGCAGCCCATAATAAGGCGTACAATATATGGGTTCCCTCCACGTTCTATTTCCAAGTAGGTATGGACTGGTTGCACTCTATATCTTACTGGTAATTCCTTAATCTTACTTCTTGTATACATGTATTCGGAACAGCCATGCCATTAATTATCACCTGACACCTCTAAAGCTTGTATGAGAAGGTACACGGCAGGCCTGTTCCCCCAACCCAAGAACTCAGATCAATAAATGCGTTTGGGAGGAATTTGGAGGCCACTGCTGGTGAGATCTGCCCTGGCTGTACCCACGAGGGGCGCATCTTAGGCCGTGCCCCCGGCCCGTAGCTCTGAAACTCTGCAAAGTAGGGAGTGCGGCTGTTGATGCGATTGTGCCATGCCTCCCACCCCTCATTCATGATGTTCTGCAAAGTGGGAGGTGGGGTGGACACGTGGAGAGAGTGAGGTTGCTCAGATGCAGCAAAATAATGAGATGGGCTCGACAGCAGATATAATGCTGCTTTAAACAACGCCTGCATACCGTGTCAAGATATGTCCGGATGTAGATCGTACGGGCGCACATCCCCCACGGCCGTGCGAGAGCTATTTGGGTCGCTCCAGCAGTTTCCACTCTTGAATCGATGAACACGAAGCCACCCGTATCATTCGCCAAGGCTCGGCCCGAGGCTGCAATGTAGCTCTGGTTGCGGCCCTTGCGCACGCGCAGACGGCAACGGTCAAACACAGCGGAGGCGTAGCCGAATATAAAGTCCACGCTTCCCTCAATGGTGCAGTTGTGGAAATACTGCCGCTTGCCCCATGCGAACACCGTGTCCTGTTTGAATTTCCGAGGGAACCACCAAGAAAGGAAACAAAACGCAAGAAGTAGGAGGCTGGGGACAGCATGCACTAGTACAGATGATGTTGGTGAGCAATCGCATCATTGTGGTTGTATGCACGCTGAGAAGCGATGAGGAGGTGAGGGCGAGGTCTGCTGCAGTGTGGCATGGTCTGTGAGTGGCGCACCTGGTAACCCGAGAATCTGCACTGGTAGAATGCGGAGCGGTCTGCATTGACAAGCAGCGCCACTGCCTGATTGCCAGCCACCCCTGCCGTGTTCTCCACTGCAATCCCCATCGCCACAAACCCCGACATCTGCACTCCTGCCAAACACAGCGCACAGACAAAAACACCCACAGGGGCAGGAACGCAGGGATGTTGATTGGGCATTGAATGAGACAGGGCGCTGGCGTTGCTACGAGGAACGCGTGCGACTCTCAAGTGGGTTGTTTCTGAGGTATATTTCTCAAAGGCCAGGCATATATGGGGCTAGGTGCAACTAAAAACAGCAGCAACAGCAAAGCCAAGAACGAGGCACGCTGCCACACTACCTAGCACGGGTGAATCAGTGAGCGACGCCCCGTCCCCAGCCTGGCTGCGATTGAACGACAGAATCGTGCGACTGGGCCCGTCGCCCAGCAGCGTGAGTCGTCGCACGGTGACGCGCACCTGCTCCTCGTACCGCCCCGTCTTGATATATATCACCGCGCCCTCCCTCGCCGCCGCCACTGCCGCCTGCCCTAACGGAATTTGAGAGGGAGGGAAGTTTGCGTGAAAAGGTTTGGAGCAGTGCAATGAAGAAGAAGAAGAAGAATGCACTTGAGGGACTGCGCTTGCAAACAGATCGGAGAAGAATAGGACGTTTTAGAGGGGAGAGGTGGAGGTTACAGGCGTAACAACTGCACGGTTGCAGAGGAAATGCAGCTGGAAAGGGACGCTCGGTATAAGGCACCACGAGAGTGACAAGTTCGACGGGAGAGTGATAAGTGCGACGGGTGCGTCGGGTGCGAAGCGTGAGACGGGTGCGACAAAATGCGACGAGGAAGTAACCGAGGCACGTACCTGGACGGTGCGGAAATTCCCAGAGCCGTCTTTCGCAACCACGGCCGTGGGCTTGAGTCGTCGCACCAGCTGCTGCCACTCCGCCACCCTACCCGGACTCACGCAACTGCCCGTCGCCAGCGTGGATGACGGCGGTGGCGCCGCCGCCGCCTCCGCCGCCGACGGTGACAGCGACGACGAAGCGGATTTGCCCGGCGACGCCGGCACTTTGCTCTGCAGCGCTGTCGCTTTTGGTGCGTCGTCGGCGGTCCCTATCCCTGCGGGCACGGTCTCCTGACCGCTCCGCCTCTGCTGCAGAGCGCGAGACACGGGCCATGGCAACATACTGGTACCAGAAGAAAGATCTACTTTTCTCCTCCTCCGCTTCCCTCTGTACTCGGCCTCGCTGGTACCTCCGATGCCGCTGAAGAGATCACTATATGCCACGTGGTTGCTTTGCCGGAGACCCCTCAGGCTTCTGCCGACACTGCTGTCTGTACCGCTGCTGCCATCCGGAGTGATATGCACGCTGCCTACACTGCTGCTGCTGCTGCTGTGCATGTGTCCTACGCGATTGCTGGCGATGATGCCCTTCCACGGTGTGACGTGTTCCGAGGTGCTTCCGCCGTTTGGGCTGCGGGGGTGAGAGAGGATCCTCGCTTCCCACCAGCGCGGTTCTCTCACACTGAAGGGAACGTCCACCGTGGATGCCGCAAAGGCTGGTGGGATGAGGACTATTAGAGCTGCTGTAATTACCAGCAGCGGCGACGCTAAGCGCAATGGCTGTGATTTGGCACGCGACGTTCGGTGATTCAAAGATCGCTGCTGGTGCGGCTGTTTTCTTCGGTTACCGTTGGAGGTTTCGAGCATTCTAAACGGGTTACGCTGACGCAATTTCATGGCGCTCCTGTGTGGAACAAGTTGTGACGTTGAGCCGGAGTAAGTCGGCATGGCTTCGATGCAAGCTGGACTCGACTCTCTCATCCAGCGCTTAGTAATATCGAGGCATCTCAAATCTAGATATCTAAACGTCAACGAACAGGTCCTAGCCGCGACTTTTCGTTTTGAATGCCCAACACCATGAAGCCCTTGAGTGTTGCCAGACAAGCGAGCTAGGCGAAAGAGGGCACAATGATGCAAGGCCTACAGCGACAGAAGATTCTTGTTCAAATCGACGCGCGATTTTTGTCGGTCGCGGCTGAGCACAAAGATGGAAGGAACTGCAAGGTCTTGCGAGCAATAGGTGGGAACAGTGGTAGAATGTGAGGGAGGGTGGGATAGTGGGTGCATGGGTTTGGGAATTGGCGGTTCTTTCGGATGAATGTGCGAAAATGTCAATGTGGGAAATGTGGAGATTTACCGAGTCGCTCGACAATGCCCGAAGCGCATGCCTTCCCAATCTTGTCCCCCCAGCGACTATCGTGGCTTGAATACCCCGACAGACCAGGAGCCAGCCCAGACGCGACAAGGCGCGACCCTCGTGCTGCGCAATACACTATTGAATGGTGCAACATACAGTCACAACCATTACCAGAAAAGCACTCAAAAGCATAATGCATGGTATCAACTTGTTGCAGGCACTGCAATTAGATTCATAGAGCACATTGGGAATCCCCACTCCAAGATGGAAAAATCATCTAAAAAATAATCCCATTCCAAATCAAGAGCTTGATACAGCAACCATGTGCTTGTTGGGATTCGGAGCAGTTACCACGACCACCACCACGCCCAATCGCCAGCCCAGAAGAAAGGCAGCTCCAGCGAAACCAAGGCCTAGCGTGAAAGCAACACCCAGGAGCAGGTAGCGGGAGAGGGGCGAGGACGGCAAAAGGAATGAGAAGGGCAGGAAGGGCTGGGGGGGTTTTTGTGGAGGTCGGTTTTGGCTGGCCCTGCTTTGCTCTTGCCCCTGATGCTCTCGCTGCTGTTCCTGGTCATGTTGCTGCTGCTGCTGGTGGTACTGGTACTGCTCTGATTGCTGACTACCCTGCTCGTAATGGTGCTGGTGAAACGGATGCTGATGCCGCTGCACTCGAAATGGTGCTGGTGCAACCGTTTGTCCAGAAAGGAAAAAATCCTCCATCCTGTCACCAGCAGTCGCATCTCCTCTAGCAGCAGATGGCCCAGACGCACAACCACCACCGCCACCATCATCAGCACCATGTGAGCCGCACACCCCTCTGACGGACATATCGCTGATGCCCGGCCCACTCGCTCCTGCTCCTGCTCCTGCTGCTGCCCCTGCTGCAGCAGCCTCAGCGCCTATCAGCATGAGCAGCTGGTCCCTCTCCACCTGTTGGTGTTTGCACACGCAGCATGCGCACCCATCCATGCAAACAACCACGGACACACACACACACAGGCGATGGAAAGAGGGACAGGTGAAGACAAGGATACAGCCCAGTCCTGGGGTGAGGACAGAGCGAGGAGAGCCGGGTAGCAAGACGAAGAGACACCGGCAAATAATATGTCAAGGCCAATGTTCAAGAACTAAGGAGAAACAACAACTGCAGAGACAAGCGATTCGGTGCTTTCCTGGAAGGTCTGAAAGGAATCAGATGCGTTAGTCTCAGGCACTGTCGCAAGAGAGGTGCCTCACCCGGCTGCAGCATGTGCGCCCACTGTTGTTCGGAATATGAGCGCGAGCACTCATGCCAGAACAGAACAGCTGCCAGTTTAGAGGCGCCACAAACCAGGTGGGCTCACCTGCAGCTGCAGCATATGCGCCCACTGGTGGAAGGAGTATGAGCGAGTGCACTCATGCCAGAACAGCTGCTCCAGCCACTGCTGCCTGCTCTCCGCCTCTGCTGCTGCCTGCTCCGCCTCCCGCGCCCGCGACTGCGAGTGACACAGCGCCTCTGCCACTGCTGCTGCTTCCGCGGGTGAAGATAGAAGCTCATATGCGTGCCCGTGCCCCTGCCCGTGTGGATATTGCTCTGCCCGCTTGTTCCCTTCGATCTCTTGCTGCTGCTGCTGCTGCGGCTGCTGCTGCTCCTCATTCCAGAGCGGCACACGCACTGCTGGTACATGGGGGGCAGGGGAGAGCGGAGCACCCAAGGCGCTGCTTCCCACAGGCATTGCACGGGAGGAGAAGCATGGCATGGAAGGGGCTCTGGGAAGAATCTCTCTGGGTTGCGTGAGGAGCGACGCATTGTGTTGACCGTGTTGACCGTGTTGACTGTGTTGACTGTGTTGACTGTGTTGACTACCCATCATGGTGTGCGCCGTGTGCGTGCCCTCCTGTGCCATTGCCTCTGCAGTCGCCTCTGCAATATCCTGTGTGGTGTGTGTGCTGCGTGTGGTGGTGAACTGACCGCGCTCATCGGTGCGCTTGGTGCGGCGGGGAGGAGGCATGGGGCGCAGCGGGGAGCAGGGAGAGGCAGAAGCAGTGGAGGAGGACGCGAGGGACGAAGAGGTAGAGCTGGGAGATGGAGAGAGGGACGAGCCGGGAGAGCAGAGCGAGAAGGGAGTGCGTGTGGAGGGATTGTTTGCAGTGGGAAGGTGTGTGGAGGGGGTGTGTGACGAGGGAATGAGTGCGGAGGAGGATGTGTGGTGCAGTGGGTGACCAGAGGTGTGACCAGAGGGGTGATTAGAGGTGTGATCAGAGGGGTGACTAGAGTGCCAGACGTGGCTCTGCTGCTGACCAGCGGACGCAAGCCCATGCGTTTCATCCATGGACCGCCGCATTCCACAGTGCCACATGCTCTGCTGCTGCACTCCCTCGCTGCACTCTCCATACTCCCTCCGCTCCATTCCCTCCCTCCCCTCCCTCCCCTCCCTGCTCTCTCCACCCGCGCCCTCTGCCGTCCCTCCTTCCCTCCCCCTCTCCATCCTTCTTTCAACCTCTCTCTCTCTCCCTCCCCCTGCCACCAACTCCCACCCGCCTCCTACCTCTTCTCCCCTTCCCCCCCGCACCTCTCTCTCCGTTCCCTCCGCCCCTCTTCTCCATTCCGTTCCCATCTCGCCCGTCTCCCCCACAATCGTCCACCCACCATGTCGTTCGCCCACATCACTCGTTTCCACCCATTCCTTCTCCCCCTGACTTCCCAGCATCGCCTGATTGGGCCCAGCCTCACGAGTCAACTCTGACGTTGCAGAGCACAGCTGCCAATCCCACGCGGATTGCGCCATGAGCGGGGGCGGCGAGCGCGGGCGGAGCGCCTCCTGGGCCGGGCGGAACGGCGCGGGCGGCGGACTGAGAAGCGCGGAGTGCGCGGCTCCTGGCGGGGAGCACGCTCGGCGCGCAGCAGCAGCCGCGGAGGCGGACGGGGGAAGATCGGTGGGCGCGGAGAGAGGCGGCAGGCAGGAGGAGGAGCGAGACAGATGGGACGCGCGAGCCCAAGAAGTGAGAGAAGACCCAGAGTCTAGGAACAAGGAACCATGGCCGCCCGCGCTCAATAAACCCGCCCTTGGCGGAGGGCTCGCGCCGTGAGACGCGCTAGGAGTCACAGTGTGGCTGTGGCTCCGTCGCACGCTGTACGCGTGCGACGAGCGATACGCCAGCGGGGAGTGCACGTGCGACGCCGTTGGCGACGGGATCTGCGACGCTGCCCGCGACTGGCCGTCCGCAGTCGCCTTCTGCCACCACCACGACGCCGAAACGGCAGCGGAGGAATCTGCGGCGGGGTTGGTAGACTCGAGGCGCGCGGCGGAGGCGGTCGCTGATGCCGCGTGGGCCGCCGTGGGAGGGACGTGCAGCAGGCCGGGAGAGTACGACGGGCGCTCGCTGCAGTGACGAAGACGGAATGAAATTTCGAAATAAAAACAACGAAGGGCGCATTTAAGTCGTGTAAGTGAGGATCGAGGTTGGAAATAAAAACAACGCGGAAACCTCATTGGAACGAATTGGTACTACTCACTGCGAGGTTCTGAGCACTTTGGAAATTCGAAATTAGTGGGTGAATACGCGCACGCGTACCTAGCGTGCACGGTGGCGCCCGGCAGCAGCTGCGTGGCGGCGAGCGCCGTGAGTCCCGCGCCCATGAGCGACAGCACGGAGCGCGCCACGTGCAGCAGTCCCGCCGCCGAGCGAGCAAACGGCGCCGCTGTGGCCGCCTTCGTCGTAACCCGCGCCAAAGCCGCCGCCGTGGCTCGCGCGGAAACGGCGGCCGTGGCTGCAGCAGCTGCGCCTGAGGGCAGCGAGCCAGCGGGCGCCCTCATCGTCACTCCCAAGGGCAGTCCGCCGACCGCTCTCGCTCCAACGGCGGCCGCTGTTGACCCGCAGCGCGCAACCGTTGCTGCTGCCGTTGCCGCTGCTGCTGCTGCGGCGGCAGTCGCGGCGAGAGGGGAGTTTGCTGCAGAGGAGGTCTGGAACGACGGGAGAAATCCACGAGCGGCAACACCGAGAGACGATCCTGCTGCTGACGATGACGATAACGATGACGATGAAGATGACGGTAACGCTGACGCAAGGCGGGCAGACGAGGAGTGGAGGACGGCAGAGCACGGGGTAGTGGGATCCGGAAGGGAGAAGCAGCGACGGAAAATTTGGGCGGGAATTCCCAACGACGTGGTGCCAGAGTTCGAAAGAGCAGCGGCAACAGCCGGGGGAGTCGTGGTGGTTGGATTAATTCGGCTGTTACGGGCCGCGCGAACTATCAGATGCATGGCTGCGGAACACAGCCCTTCCGCCATGGCTGCAGGAGGAGCCGGCTCGTGGAAATCTCGGTAGCGCGTAAGGGACGCTGCGGCGCGACAGCCGCGGCGACAGCGAAGGGGCAGCGCGATGTTGCTAGGACGTGGTCGCCGCAACAACTCTCTATCTCATGAGTCGTATGTACACGCGAGCAACATACACGCCCACGCTTAGTTTCCGGGAATTTAAATTCCGTAACAGACGTTTATGCTCGTGAGAAGACGCATGGAGAATCCACGAGAAATTTCGGGGAACACACAGGTGCTCGTCGGCCAAATAACTGGAAATTACCATGCTCCGTCCCGCGTTGATGTTTCCACGAGGAAATTCAAACTCAGTCTCCTCACCGTAGCGGAGGAGACTGGAAGTGTGTGCACTTCCCTCGAGAAAAGCTGCTCATATGTGCCGAACCCCCCTTTCAACTCTTTGCTCTTGAAACAATCGCCGAAGTGAGTGGGAGGACGAGCCACCTGTGCCTGTCAAGAGGAACTACGGGGAGGAATTGAGCAGGCGAATCGGGACGGGGAAGCAGGGGGTAGGCAGGTTGAGTTGAGATGGGTTGAGGGACCAAAGATCAATGGCTGCGATTTGTCCATCGAGAAATATTTGTGATGTTTGTGCTTTGAAAAGCAGACTACGCCTCTTCATCTCCCCAAACCATATTCCACCTCCATGCGCTGCTGCGTCTCGTCTCCCCTGTTCCCGATGCGCGCGCAGCCGGTGGTCATGTTTCACTCCCTCTCGTTCTTTCCGCGTCAGACATGTCGTCCGCCACGTTTTTTGGATTATCCCAGACAGTCTGGGCCATTGGATGACGGTTGGAGCATCCCTTGGGCCAGTGACACTCTACTGAAAGGATACGGCGAATGTGTGTGCCCAGCTGAATGATCCATTGCTTAGGTAAGCATCGTGCAAGCACTGGCAGACCATTTCACTCATCATCCACGCTCGCCTGGTTTCCCCAGAAGTGGGGTCAGGCGGGCTATTCCGGCTACTTTGTTCTCATTCGTTATCGCAGATTGCCACGTCATGTGCATGAAGTCACATTGGTTGCCCGACTGTGAGGTTGATCAGGGGGATTGGGGGTGATGTTGGTTGTACCGCCACGAACATCACCGGTTTTGTCGAACAAACATTCAAGTCGAATCACATACAGTTTTGTATACGTTCTTTGTATATCGAATGAGTACAAATCGATGTTGTTATCTCCGATTACCGTGTAAATGTTGGCATGGCTGGATTTCTAATGGATGGCTATCTAACATCATTTGTAATTATCTAGGTAGCTGTTTTCATTACAGAAATGGTTACCCTTTTTGGCGAGGAAATGGGGGTGCCACACTCGTTACGGTCGATCAACTCCCACGTCCGCCACATCTGCCTGCTTCTACCTTGCCCGCCACCAGCCTGGGTTTCAATCTTGACTTCTGTCTTATAATTCCTAGACTGTCAATACCAAGCTATCAGCTTGCATTCGCTGTTATCTTCCCTCCCTGCCGTCTCATTGTCCCGCGGACTTGCCGTTTTGCGTCGATCCTAGTCAGCACGTTATTTTTCTCCTGTCCGTTATTAGAGATGTTGACGCTCACCAGGCTGTCTTCTTAGTCTCCCTCCTACCTGGTGTTTCTAGAAAGGGAGGCTCGAATGGACAAGGATTCTAAATACAGGAGGGTAAGCTAAGTTATCTCCGCTATTGCGTATGTTCCGATCAGCCATTTCGTGTCGATTCGTGTACCGAGATCTGCGAGCATCACGGTTCATTGGTCGCTCGTTCCCGTCGTCATTATACACACAGCGTATCATCCATAGTCCCGCATAGTCTCCGTTGCAATCCTACTTCCATCTGGCATAAGGCAATCCGTTGCATGACATAAGCTGCTAGAAATTGCTGGGAATGCGACCACGCCTCATCCTCGACGCATCGCCATCGATTGTTCTGTACCTTGTAGTTTTTTTTTTGAATCTTTTTCTGCCTAAATTTCCTTTCCATTGGACTTTAATCTCGCCAGCTTAAAGGCTCTAACACCTATGTTGCCAGCCTAAAGACTATCTCACAGAACCGACTCGCGTTTCCACATGGTTTCTTCCTTTCCGCCAGTGCACGCGTCGTCCTTAATGTCTCTTAGGCTGTGGGATCTTCCCGGTCGTTGTATTGTCCATATCGTCTTTAAGCTTCACCACATTTCTTAGAACTTTGTGCCGACCAGCCTCGTGCCAGCCGTATCCGCCTCTCTCTCACTCGCCCTCGTACTTGCCCTATCCCGCTCTCTTCTTTCTCTCCACACAGGATGCGGGCTATACCAAGGCATCAGCGGCCAGCGCCACAGCCCCTCGTCGCGGCGCAAGAGGCCATGCCTCCGCAGGTTCCGCCGAACGCGCAGCCGCTCCCCCCGCTCCCGCGGGCCCGCCGCCCGTCAGCTTCGATCTAAACGACTTCAAGGTGCGCTACGCGTGTGCGTGTGCGTGTGCTTGCGCGTGCCAGAGTGCGTGTTGGGGGGGAGCAGGCGGGGAGGGGGGGAGGCTGTTGTCGCCTACATCAGCTTCAAGCCGCGCCCCGTTTGCTCGTGCGCGTGCGCGTGTGCGTGCGCCTGCGCGTGCGTGTCGGTTGTGCTCTCTCGGGGGAGAGAGGCGCGTGGGGGGAATGTCACCAGGGCGGGGCGGGGCCGCGCGGGGCCCAAGGTGCGTCGCGTGCATGTGGGTCTGGTCGTGCCCTGCCCTGCCGCGCCAGGCAGTACTCGCCGTTGTGCCCTCTGCACCCGCACGCACTCGCTCTCACGCCACACCTGCTCACCGCTCCGCTTTATTCATTAGAACCACGGCTAGGGTTCACTTTTCCCGCCGCCGCTGGGCGCGTGTGGAGTCTGATTGCGTTCCACCGTGTGAGGCGCCTGAAAAGGCGCTCCCCGTTCCCTCCCCCACCCCCCTCCCCTTATTCCAACCTCCCTCCCATCCCCATCACTGCACCTCCCTTCACTCCCTTTTCCGCCCCCGCCTGCTACCCCCGGGCAACACCAGGCCACGTTTTCCTTTGGCGATTTCTTCAACACGCTAGCGGGCGAGTTCCTGCCCAGCATCCCGCTGTGCTTGGCGCCTCAACGGCCCTCTTTTCCCACCCTTTCCCGCGCACCCCCTTCCTCCCCCACCCCCCCTTCCTTCCTCCACTTTGCGCTCTCCCCTTCCCCCCGCGCAACACCAGGGCACGTTCTCTTCGACGAGTTCTTCAACACGCTAGCAAGCGAGTTCCTGCCCAGCATCCTGCTGAGCATGGCGTCCCCCCTTCCCCCGGCCCCCCTCTCATTTGCGCACCCCTCTCCTGCCTGTCCCCCCCCCCTCTCCCCGCGCATGGCCAGGGCACGTTCTCCTTCGACGATTTCTTCAACACGCTAGCGGGCGATTTCCTGCCCAGCATGCTGCTATGCGTGGTGCCTTAAAAGACACTCCTTTCCAACCCTTCTACGCACACCCCCCTTCCCCCCGCGCATCACCAGGGCACGTTTTCCTTCGACGATTTCTTCAACACGCTAGCGGGCGAGTTCCTGCCCAGCATCCCGGCAGACGACGGGCTGCCGTCGTCCGACCCGTCATCCGGCCCCGTGGGCTTCCCCGAGGCCGAGGCCCTGCTGCCCCGCTTCCGCGAGTCCCGCCGCGAGCTGCTCGAGCTCAACCGCCGGGTGAGCTTTACCTGCTATGATTCCTCTCCCCCGGGCCCCGAGGGCGCGTGCCTGTGGGAAAGAGGTGACTTTTGAGTCGACTCAAGAGTCCTTCTCGCCTCTCACCCTTTTGGTGCTGCCTTCATCTCCATTCCTCGTCTCCCTTGCACGTCCCTTCTTCCCACGCCTTCCTTCCCTCCCCCCCTCGCCCGCCTGCCCCACCCACCCTCCCGTCCCCCCCCTTCTCTCCGCGCGCCCTGCAACCATGTGTGGGTCCCTTGCAGGTGGATGATCGGTTGGAGCGACTGCGCAAGGACGTGGCAGCACAGGACAGCGAGCACAAGGAAACACTCGGCAAGGTGCGTGCCCGCCTCGCCCTGCCATGCCCCTGCCATGCTGTGCTGTGCTGCTTAGTGCCTTGTCGTGCCACGCCATGCCATGCCATGCCGTGCGATGCCACGGGTGGGGCTTGCATAGCCACTGCATCGCTGCATGCTTTTGGCTGTGCCTCTTCTCGCATACCAAATGATTGCTGTGCTGCGCGGTTCTGTCTGCCCGGCCCCGCCCTGCCCCTCACGCAGCTGGAGAGAGGGGTGGAGGGGCTGTTTGACAGCTTTGGCCGGCTCGATGCACGCATCTCGGGTGTAGGGCAGACCGCTGCTCGCATTGGTGACCACCTGCAGGTGGGTGCCTGTGCGGGTGTGTGTGGATGGGTGGGTGCGCGTTCGTGTGCGTGTGGGTGTGGGTGTGTGCGTGCGTGTGCGTGTCTGCGGGTCTGCGGGTTTGTATTGGCGTGTCTGCCTGTGTCGCTGTCCTTAGCACTCTGCACTGGTAGAATCCGAGCAACTTCGTGCCATGTCTTTCTTTCCCCTAAGTCAACCGCCTGAGTCTTTTCCTCATGCCTGCTTCCCCTTGTTCCCATGGCAGAGCGCTGATGCACAGCGAGAGACAGCATCCAACATTATGGAACTCATCAAGGTACGCACTGACCGCTCCGTACCGCATTGCACTGCATTGCACACCGCATCACCCTTCCATCTGCTACTGTCTTCCATCCTTCCTCTCCCCCCTGCAACCCCGTCACAATCAACTCCCTGCCTCATCCCCTCCATCCCCCACCCTTTCTCCCACCTTCCAACCTTCCATGTGCATGCCCTTTCTCTTCCCGTCATCTTTCCCGTGCCCGTCTCCTCCCAATGCGTCCCTCTTCCCCACACTCTCCCATCCCGTCCTCCCGCGCCCAACCACCAACCAGTATCTGATGGATTTCAATCGCAGCAGGGGCGAGTCCGTGCAGTTTCTGCCACTCGCTGCTGTCTTTC